ATGTGAAATCCTTCATGCAATGAAATCATTTTCAAAATGATATTCATTGTCATTAGGGCAGTTTTCCCACCATGAAATCGTTTTTCGAATGACTTGACTGAATAGACAAAAGTAGCAGTTGCAATAATAAGGCATCGTTTGTGTTGCAAGAGCTGATTGGAAAGTCTGAAAACGAGAGCTCTATAATGTTTTAAATGATTGAATTTTGAATTGCGGAAAAGACTGTTGCTATTTTTGACCGTTACAAAACAAGCTGGTTGGTTTTTTGAGATGTATTATCAATTTTTTTCCACAGTTCATATGTAAAGTATATTAAAACCATTGCATCCTAGTTGAAAGAGAACTGTAGCTTCTCTTAATTACTGAAAGAAGGAAACTTCTCCTTCAGAGACATTTTTAAACTGCAAAAAATATAAATTTACTTCCAAGTTTTCCTTCACTGCACTATAATGCAAAATTTTGGCTTTCAGTGTTCTTAAGGAACTGTAATGCAAGCACAGAGGAAATGTTTTTTTCTTGCTTATAAAAGATTTGCCACTGTTTTGGGGCCTTTTTAACAAGTTGTTTTGTCATCGTAGGGGAAGAGGTAGCAATTCATAAATAATTCAGCTGTATGTGTTTGCACAAAAGCTTAAGAAAAATGAATCAGACGTACCCAAACGCTTCAAGTGTTGCTTCCACCTCCATGTTCCAGGGCAAAATAAACGTGTGGCTCAAGCTCTTACGGGTGCTCAGTAAGAATGATGCAAATGTGCTGGCTGCTGTCAGACCCACCAGAGGGGAGCACTACTCTTCAGGGCTTCCAGAGAAGGGTTCCCTGTGACATGTCTTTTGCCACCCCCTAAGGAAATAAAAGGTACTTTGAGCTTTTTTATTCCCTCTCTGGGGGCAGCTGCCCTCCCCTTCACAGAAGAGCAGGGCCCGAGCTCCCTGCAGAGCTGAAGAGACCAGAAAGAATAAGCTGGGCACAGACTGGGACACAGGTTGTTTTCCCTGAGAAGTGAGAGAAGGGAACCAGGAGAGAGGACTATAATTAATGCCCAGCTCTGGAGCAACCCACTAATCATCTTGAAGATGAGAACATTGAGTCATCATTTTCTTCATTCATACTCAGTATCTTGGGACACTTTGTCTCAGGCTGAGGCACAACTTAAGTATGGTTAAGGAGCCATGAGGAACTGCTCTTCAAATGAACAGCAAAAATAATATGTAGTCTGCAAAATGAAATGGTTTTCTGGATGGGGTCTATAGCACAGGTTAAACGAGGGTGTTTTGCACTTGAAAGTAATTTCAGATTCAAGCATGAATGTAAAATGAAAAGGCCATTTTTGAAGCAATGCCCTATGCAGATGCTCATGCTCTGTAACAGGTGTGAACATGATGATAGTGATTAATCTTTTTCAAAAAAGTATATTATGTTTACATGGAAAGAACAAGGGCATCCAGAAAAGGAGCTAGTCAAGAAACAGCTAGTGCACAAGGGCTTCTTTCACAGCTGCTCTTTGGCTCAAGTCCTGCAGCAGGTAGGCACACGCAGCTTTCCTGGACTGTCTTCTGGAGGGCTATTTGCTCTGTCTTTTCCCATTCTGAACAAAGCAGTGGTGCACACCCAACACACAAAAGAGTTAATTGCTGGAGTCAGCCCTGGGAAGTTGCTAAGCAACATTGCTGGGCCCTGGTATCAGCTCATCCACCAGCCACTTCCACTGCCTGTGGTCCAGCACCTACCCTGCAGAGTGCAACTGAGAACTGCTGTGAAAACTTAGCTCTCTTCCTCAGATCCTGCAGTCTAATTAGGCTCACCTAATGAAAATTAACTATTTTGTGATTTAGGTCCAGTTGCTTAAAAATTATTCCGAGTATACAGTTTGTCTGTACACTAAAACCAATTTATTCAGTTAATATCCATCCATTTTAGATGTTTCAGTCTGTCATTCCTACTTTAGATGAGCTCATTGGCTTTTAAGATTTTGAAGTATTATTTTAATACGTGAACATAAGTATTGACATCATGTAAGTCTGAAACAAGATAAACATCTATCCATTAACTGCAGTAAGTATGCTTTACAGAATTGAGTTTGAGATTTTCCAATAAATTCCCACATATTTTTCAGCCTGACATCTTAATCAAAAACAAGGCTATCGGGGAACTTGCAACCTTTGGGTAAATCAACAAGTACTGAAATCATTACAAATGCAGGACTTTGTCACCCCAGCCTGATTACGGATCAAGAATTCTGGGGTACATCATCTGATCTTAATGGAGGCATAACACTAGTCCATGAGCACTGTGGATTTTGCCCTCTGTATGGAAGGTTAAAGTCCTGAATACCCTTGAGACAGTAGCAAAACTCCTAGTCAGTGATACTTCCGTTGTTTATCTGCTCTCACAACAAATCATTCTGGTACTGCCAGAGGTAAAAAAACCTGCATTTTAATGGTTTAGAGTCCTGCGGTGATTTTGAGGTCTGACTGAAGACAATAGCACTTAGCGGGTTTGCTTTCTGTGTGGGTTCCTTGGTGTAAGGCAAAATAAAACTCAAAACAGCAGCTTCTCCCCCGGGCCAAGGTGCTCATACTGGTTTGCTCTTTTTACCTGACTACGCTTACAAAACTTGTAGGAACTCAGTTATTGGGCAAGTTCGGCTGAACTTGGACTGCTCAGAAGCTGCTGGTGGAAAAATGAGATAAACAAGCACACAAGAACTATGAGGTAAAATAATTTGTTTTCCTTAGGGAACCAGCCTAAATTCTTAATGACCACAAAGAATTCATTGTCGTATAGGTTCCCTGTCTGTCAAATATGCACGGATTCCAGCCTGAGGCAGGTACCTTGAACGAACAGCTTTGCCTCCAAATTCTGACCCCTCGTTAAAGTGGTTTGCTACTCAGTTTTTTGTGTATTTTTGCATAAATATTGATAAACCTCATTTTCTAAGTCCACTTGTGACACCTTGTTAGCAAGTTTAACAATATCACTGTTACAACATACTTGATTTTTTAACTTCTTTGAATTTTTGGATTCTTAAAAACTTCCATGGGAAGTGCACGCATCCACAGAGTGAATTTATGTTTATTGGCAGTATAAATGCTTTTCCTCACTGGCTTTTTGCAGTTTTTAGGAATAGTTTATGGCGCAATAGCAGTTTACAGGCCACAGGTAGAAATGGCTACTCTAAACTTGCCTTTTTTTTTCATTTTATTTTATTGTGTTTATATTCAGCCATATCTTGAAACTATTCAGCTAAAGTCTGAATAACGTTCTATAATATTTAGTTAGATTTTTTTTTTTGCGTCTTTTGATTTTCAAGCAAATCTGTACTCCCTTGGTTTGAGTCAGGTCAAGTACATGTGCTGCTGCAAGAACTGGAATCACATTTACGGAAATCAGAATGAAAGTAAGAAGGGTAAGAGCAAAATATATCCAGGATTAGTCACATTTTAATGATGATTACAGTACAGTGACAAGTAGAGAAGACTGCTGTGGAAGTAATTCTGGTCTGGTTCAGGTTAATGGCAATTTTGCCATTGACTTTAGTGGAATCAGGATTTATGCTTGATTTTTCTTCTATTGTTGTTTTTCTTATTTACACCACTAGACACCATAGGACACTGACAGAAATCCAGCATACTCTGCTCCTTTAGCATTGCTATTCTTGCTCTTTTTTTCCTCTGCATGCTTTTTAAAGTTTAGTATAATGCTTCTCAGCTAGCCCTTCTTTAATTTCTTATCTTTATAGGCAGACTCCATGCATCTTGTTACTGTTCACATAGTAATTGCAGACTTCTTTTCTTCTGAGCAGACAGTAAATATATTGTTCTTTTTGTGTTTGGATGTGGAGTTGGGAGTAGCCCTGGGGTCATCCGAGATTCATGCAGGAGCATCAATAGCACTGTGCCTTGTCTGGCAGCTAAAAGCTGTTCTGCATCCGCCTCTTTAGTGCAGAAGTGGTTAGCTTGGGGGACTGGTAATGACATAAGGAGCCTTTTCCAGAAACGTGCTGGAAGGGGATTCATGAGAACATCGTGTTAAAATTGCACTTTTCTAAGTGGAAATTTCTTTGCCTTGGAGATCAGTCCCCTTCCACGTATCATTTAATCATGAGTATGAAAGATGACTTATCTCTAAGGCTAATAAAAATATTTTGCCTTCTGTCATACACATTATTGTAAAAAAAAAAAAAAAAAGAAAGAAAGAAAAAGGAGGTTATATGACATATAAAAATTCCCAGTGAAAGGAATCCAGTTGATTATTTTCCAAGAACTGATTCCCCAGATAAAGTCCCTGTCTAATGTCACAAATTGGTCCGCGAAGAACACCATCAAAATGAAGAGTATTTTCAACCATAAAATAATTGCAGATTGGTGGTGTTTTCTTCATTGGTTATGGTAGGGAAATGACAAAAAAATTCTATTATTAAAGCTAATAAACGGAGTAATCACTATCACCACTCTTCTGCTTTCACCAAATAAACGCATCCACTTTGTATTGATTAACCACTGATGGCATTCTGAACGTTAGAGCAAGCAAAGAGAACATACAAGGTGAAATCTTGGTCCCACTGGAACCATTGGAAGTGGTTTTACCCCTATAGAAGGGTAAATGGTTGAGCTTATTTTGGGTCTCTGCTCAGGGATTGTGCATCTTAGAGACTGGCAGGCAAGGCACTGAGAAATGCATACATGAAGTTAGGTTCCCAAGTGCCTTTTTAGACCCTGGAATAAATGGCCTTGCTTTCAAAAGCATTGAATAATTACCAGCTGGTGCCGATGAGACCATTTCAATGGTCTCATTCCAATGAACAGTCACTGTAGCTCACCCTAACACCCTAACAATAACACCCAAACAAGCTTTGTTCACTTTTTTTCTTTTTGCATCCGTCAAAGACATTGCAAAAAAACTTTGTGTAAAAAAAAAAAGTAACAAAACCCCAGCTTATCAAAAAGGATATTGTAGAATTCACCTTTTCTCTTTGGTATTTTCTTCCCCTTACTTTCAGGTATGAAATAAAATGAGGATTTGCAACCTGACTGCAGAATTAGAAGCAGATGAGAATCAGTGATCTGTTCCCTGCGTCATGGCCTAGATCCTCCACTGGGAATGCGGCAAAAAACTTGACTCTGGAGCATGACTTGAACATACTGAGGAGAAAAGGTACTCAGTATTTTATCAAACTCTCTAATTTTTTTCTTCTGTGCACTGTAGGAAAGCATTCTGATGATCAAACCTGGTGGATTTTAAGTGTCCTTAGTAGGCTAAGATGATCAGTGCTGCTGCAATCCTGGATATGAGTTTTCCATAAGTATGAACAAAAAGTCATTGTGGCAATGGGAGGATGTTGAACATATATGTAAAGTATAAGTAAGCAAAGACAAAGAAAGGATTGATGGAAGGTTTTGAATCCATTTAAAAGTAAGGCCAGTTTTATAATACAATGATCGTAGGTCAAAAAAAATATTTTCAAGTCAGCATCTTAGTTGATCCTTGGTAGCTTTGTACAAATAGACAACCTCTTGTCTGTTCCATAAAATTTAAATCGGATTGATTTGAAACTCCTGCTCTTTGAAAAGTGGCTCTCACCTACCTCCGTGTGTGTTTACTTAGTAAGACCTAACCAGCTATTTCAAGTGTTGCAAAAGTGGCTTAACTGAAGTCTTGTTTTACGTCTATTTAAATTGAACCATTGTAGTCTTGTGTAGAGGCACTTGAAACAATGTATAGCTGCCATATAAAATTCCATCCTTCGAATTAAGCTAAATCAACATAAGCCAGTTGCAAATCAATTTAACTGTGTCCACATGTGGATTTGCTTCATGTTTAATGAAACTGATTTAAGGAAACAATCCCAGTGAAACCACTGCCACTTTCTTTTGCAGGCAAAGCCTATATTATGTTGATTTATTTGGAACTAGAACTCTTCTGGCATACATATTGAATAGCCAGCATAGCTTTGCAGCTGCACTGTTGAACATCAACCTGAATTCTTGGTCTTGTTATGGATTTGGCTAATAAATTTTCTTACATGAAGCCATGTTTCTCCCTCAGTGAGATTTAACCCATGCATTTGTCTTCCCAGATGGGTTGGGATTTTTTTTTTTAGCATAATCTGATTAATTTAATCCACACAGCATTTCACTATGTTTTTGTCCTGCCAGAAGTAGCATAGGCTCCTCATATGAGCAGTTATGTTCTTAACTAATAGTCTAGCTTTTCAGTTTGATTTATGAACACACAAACAAGGAAAATTTTAAATTCAATCAGAACAAATGGCCATGTGTTGTCTAGCCAGGATGTTCTGGTAGAGTTTCCATCATATCTAGGAAATTGATGCCTCCATGGATTTATGACTTACGTGACAGAGGTCTTCACATTGGTCCTGATTAAATAACAGCATTAGTTCTTGGATTGTAGCTCCAGCCATTTGTACTTCTAGAAATGGTGTAAAGATTAATTCATCCTTGTGCATGTGTTTATCCTTTAGTGAACTGAGTTTTGTTTTCCTATCCAGAATTCACGTCTTTCTTATGTATGTAATTCATTTTGGTGAACACCTTCAAAATGCATCAAGAAAGGAAAAGTTCCAACTTGTTTATCCCCAGTTCATAATGTCTTATCTGAAAATCACAGTTTTATATTCGTGAGAGACATATATAAAAAAAAAACTAAGCAGTACCTATGATTTTGTCTAGACTTTTTTCTCCTCAAATATGCCATTTATTCTAATAAAAGCGATTACCAGTCCCTGCAGAATTTACCTGGCTGGTAGCCATAGACAATTGCAGCTACAGTAACACTGCTGCTGCTTTTGTGCTCATCGGTGTCATGTGTCCTGTACACCAGTCAGAAATTCAGTAGGAGCATAGGGATGCTAAGGTAAATAAAAGTTAGTAGTGGTCCAGCCTTTCACACCCATTTGATCTGGAGTAATTTAGACATCTAATAGCAGTTACTTTTGTACATACTCCTTATTTTCTAACCGTACTGCAGGGCAACACTAGATTTCTTAATTCGCAGCGCCAGACCCTAATGAATCTTTTCTGTAGTACATAAGGTATGATTTGTCTGCAGTAGTCTCTTCTTCGTTGTCCCAATTTGTAGCTTTTTGTAAGCACTCTAAAGGGAACTTCAATAAAAACACAGATCTGGAAAGGAGAAAACAGAGGCAAAGCACAAGCCAGACCCTCAACTCATGCAAGAGATATACCAAGTGCAAATCTGCCTGCCAGCCAGTGCCCTCTTAGTGCTGTCATTCCCAGCATTGTGTGAGCATACCATTCTCAGTACAACACTAACACATGCTTCAAAATGCTCTGAGATTTTTAAGGGGGGAAATTTGGAAAACTGTCTTGGATTTGCTGTGAGTACTTGCTTAAAACCTGCTTTGGTACAGTTGACTTCAGTGAATGAAATTTTCATTTTATCCAAATGAAAATACTGAAGGAATGTGATCAAGAGAATAATCAAAGATAATGTTACTGACTCAGCATGTTTCATTACCGAATATGGAAGTTTTCAATCCGATTTCTTGGCTGTTGGCATCAATATTGAGATTCAGACCACTATAGTCTATGGAGACAAACACTCCTTATTCTGAGCTGTTCCTGCCTGTCTCTGATCTAGACCCAGCTTTCCCCATCCCTTATTCCTTGTCCTTTTTATGTATTTTAGGCCTACCAACTCAGTCTCTCAAATCAAATCAGTGCACTATCCTACCTTCATCTCCTCTTCCGCACGTTTCTAGTCCCAGATCTCCCTACTTCCCTCCGACAGGATGCAGTCACCTCTTCTTATCCCAAACTTACTGCCCAGCTCCTGCTGCTACCCCTTCCTTCAGTCTTGGGCCCAATGGAGTCTCTAAAAATTGTTTGATTCTTGAACTCCTGGTCTGTGAGTCAAAGGTAAGTGACCTAGGAACTAATGTCCTTGTCAAATAAAGTATGTTTTAAATTCAGATAGTGAGCCACAAAGAATTCAGATGGTTGAGAGGCTTTACTGAGCAGAGGACTTAGGAACTCCTGCTCTAAAATAAATATCCATGGTTAATTTCACAAACAACTTTTTCTTGCCACATATGTGACTTTTAAATATGCAGAAAGGTTTTTTCAATCTCAGATTTATAATCCGTTGGGTTGGCAAAATCTTATGTGAATTCCTTAACTGTGCACTTTGGCATGGCTTCATCTTTCATCCAAACCATCAATTCTATTTCTGTTCCCCTAACCCATCTATTTTTATAGGAGGACTTTGTGTGTTACATTCTGTGCTGTGCTGGCCATCGCGCTCTCAATCTTCCCTTCATTCAGTCACGCAGTTTCCAGAGCATTGTCTTCCCAAAAACTCTCTCCCATGACCCTGTTTGCAAGCTAACAGCTTCTCTTCTTAGTTCTTTCTTACTCCAGTCCTATTGTCTTTAGTCTCTACCTGGCACTTATCCCACCGCTTCCAGGCACAAACATCTTCTCCTTGCCTTTTTCTTTTGCTTTTCAAAATATTCTTTCCCTTGTTACTGTCAAATGCAGCTCCCTCCTTGTGTAGGATCTCCTGCAAAATCAGAGCTGTGCTTGCCTCTCTGTTCCAGCGCCAGCCTTTGCCATCCTGCTTGTTTATGCTGCTACTCGCTGTTCACCATCACATTCAGCAGAAGCAAAGCATCTCCCAGTGACAGCAGTGTAAAAGCATACACTAATTTTTTAAAATGACAAACAAGGTTTATCACATTCTCTTTAGAGAACTCGCATTCTAGCCTCTTTGGAGAAGCCTTTCACATTATTTTTTCTGCAAAATCAGAACAACAAATTGAAAGTACCGGGTTTTTTTCCGCGTGTTCCCAGATGCTGCGTGCTTCCCAGGATCACAGATAGAACTGCGCAATTAGGCAATTTTAAAGCTTGTCAAAGCTGCAGACAATACAGGGCCAGACAATACAGCATAGACATAGCACATTAGAGTGAGTGTTACAGTTATAAAATAAGAGGAGATGTGCATAATAGGGAAAGGAGTGAATCAAGGAAAGGGGGGGGGGGGGAAAGGGGGGGGACGGGGGGTGTCAAGGAGGAGACAGGCCTGGTGTTGGGAGTACATGCAGAATTCTGTGAGGAAACTAAGGAAAGACCCCCTGCACAGCCTGCAAGGGGATACAGGGGTGCATGGCAGTGTGGGGTGGCAGCTGGGCTGATGACACCAGGCAGGTCTCTCCCCTCTCACTTCCCAGCTTCATCCAGCCTGCAGGATGCTATAATCCTACCTGCTGGGATTTAAGCTGAGGGCTCTGGTTGCTACTGCAGCACAAGATGAAGAAGGTAGCAAAAGATTAGAGGTGTGCTCAGGCCTCCAAGCCATTTCCCACAGGTGCTGGAAGGGCCATTGCCCAAGGACTCCTTCCCACCACCACCAGCTGGGAGGCAAAAGACGTCTCTCCCCAACTCCAGCTGTGAGAAACAGCACTGCCATTCTGTTTTGCAATGTTGTGGCTTGAAATATTGCAGGGGGGGGGGGGGGAAATGGAGGGCTGAAATTCCTTCAGCACTCTCAGTGGTTCTTAAACAATTGCATCTAGCTGCATGCTCCAAGTGTTTTTGAATTTGTCTCATTGCTCTCTAGGGTGGAAAGCTGCTCTTTCTGTGCCGTTCCTTCAGAGCAGCCAAACACCCATTTCTCTGTTCTGGGCTCAGGCTTATTTCTCTGTTTTCTGTAAATTCATACACTCAGTACAGGCACAATCTCTGCAGCCATTAAAACCCAAAATCATTGTAGCCCGATGTGTTACATTTCAGCAAATAAATATAGTCAATGTGATTTTTCAGGAGAAGTTTTTCTACTAAAGACCAGTTTGAATCTTGGTTCTCTCTCTGTTCCTTCAGCTGCCTGACTGCTGGACAGTCCAGGGCAATAACTTACTTAGTGCCCTATTTTCTTTATTATGGCGCTCTCAGGCATTAGAGAAAAAGGCCTTTGCCAGCTCAAACTCCATAGTGAGTCTGATGAAGTTGATATTTGTATTTTTGGATTAATCTGTCTGCAAGCCATAAAAAAGTGTCTTATTGTAACATATGCTCTGCCATTGGGACCCTTTCAAGGGGTGACCTGCTTTCATAAAGAGCTTCAGGCTGGTGCCGTTGTTCATTAGCAAAGTGTTGTAGGGAATTCTGGGACCT